AGACAGCTACCCAAGCTGAAGAAGGGAAGGTGGAAAGATTAGAAGACAATCCCTCAGTCTGTTCTTTGCACAATGTAGGAGTGCAGATTGGGAGACACTGGTGGCTACATGGTGCCTATCTGACTAGAGATTTTATAATGTAGAAAGTTTTCATGCTGGTCTTCTCTGGTACAGTCTTAGGGCAAAACCTCTAGAAACAGTTCCCGAATGGCACTGCTGATGCAGGCTGTGGAAAAAGCTGTTGTGTGAGTTTCTGCGCTCAGCTGCCTCCTGAAGAGAAAAGAGCCTGCAGCTTCTCCGTGCTGTTCACATGTCCATTTCAGTCTCTTGAGGACTGATAAGCTTCATCAGTGCAGAGGATGTGTCTGCCCCCTTCACCTTGTGTCTTTCCTTCTCAATGTGCATATTCCCATTCTTGAACCCCCCACTTCTAAATAGTCATTTGTTATCACTTAATGCATTAGAAACATTTTCCTTTACGAGTTGTAGCTCACTGGTTCCAAAATTATGAGAAAACCACATTTCTTCCTTCTAACAGCCACTTTCCCTCTTGCATCACAAATTTAGTGCAAGTGGGGTAGAGAGATAGCTCAGTGATTAAGAGCACTGGCTGCTCTTGCGGAGAACCTGAGTTCACTTCGCAGCATCCACATGGAGGGTAACAACCACCATAACCCCATTTCCAGGGGATCTGACACCCTCTTCTGACATCCCCAGGCATGGCACAACACGGGTGCACTCACATACATGCAGGCAATACACTCACACACATAAAAGTAATAAAATATTTTTTAAAAAAGGTATCATCAAGAAATTGGACATAGTCTTGACGCTAACAGTTCTGACATATATGGAAAACAGAAGGATGCTCTGACAAAGCTGTATTCAAATTATTTACAGTCACTGGGAGTTTTTAGTATGGGTTTTCATTTTGAAAAGAATGTTGAAGAAGGGCTGGAGTAATGACTCAGCATTTAGGAGCACTGGCTGTTCTTGCAGAAGACTGGGGTTTGACTCCCAGTACCCATATGGCAACTAACAACTGTTTATAACTCCAGTTTCAGGGGATTCGACAGCCTCTTAGGACTGTGGGCATTGCACAGTACATTTACACACATGTAGGCAATACACTTAAGAAAAAAGTGAGCAGTTTGGCCAGTAACACCTCAAGAGAGGTGCAGAGACCAGGCAGGGGGAGACCATTAATACTCCCTGAGCAGTTCTGGAGATGGCACCAAAAGGCATCTCTGCAAGGGTCTGCTCTACCAGGTCTTACACCAGGATGAGGAGATAGGAGAATCAGCCTGGCATTGAACTTTATGCACTGGGTTATTATTATTTTTTTGTATGTGCTAAAATTTGAATAAATTTGAACTTAATTTCCCAGAACTCAAAATTAACTAAAATTTCTAATGTCTTGCTGCTGCTGTTCCTCTTCTTTTTTTCCTTTTTTGAAATAAGGGCTCATACTCTAGCCCAGACTGGCATTGAATGTGCAACAGTTCTCCTGCCTTGGCTTCTCAAGTATTGAGATTATGTGAATGAGCCTTTAAAAAATGCTGTGGGGCTAGAGAGATGGCCTAGTGGTTAAGAGCATTGGCTGTTCACCCAGAGGACCCAGGTTCGATTCCCAGCACTCACATGGTGGCTAACTGTCTGTAATTCCAGGTCCAAGGGGTCTGACACCCTCTTCTGGCCACTATAGGATGTTGCACACATGAGTCGCACTTACATGCAGGCAAAACACACACATAAAAGTAGTAAATAAGTAGTAAATAAAATTTAAGTAAGTAAAAAAGTAGTAAATAAAATTTTAAAAATGTTGTTTGTACATGAGGGGAGCAGATGATATTTGTCAAAGGAAAGCAATTTTGAATTCTCTGAGTCATTACTGTGCCAGCCTTCTCTAATGTCTTCTACTTAAGCCTCAAGACTGGCAGGCATGTTCAGCCTTGGATATTGCTACACCATGGTGTCATGTACAGAGTTAACATTCAAGAACCATGTGACTAAGTTATAAAAATAGCAAAAAAAACCTCATGTTTTAAGTAAGTTTACAGTTTTGTGGTGGGCTATATTCAGAGCTGTCCTTGGCTTTATGTGGCCTTTTTGCCACAAGTTAGACATACTTGCCAGTGTAGAGCAGTCATTAATGTTCAGTACTTTGAGGTGCTTCAAGATGATCTAAAGCAGGTAATTTTTAAAACCATGAAAAGGTTAGATCTTCAATTACCAGTTAAATTCCTTTGTTGTATGGGGGTTGGGGGGGATATATGCACATATGGCACATGTGTATGCCTATGTGCAGAAGCCAGAGGACATTGGGTATCCTGCTCTAGCATCCTTTGCCTTACTCCCCTGAGACATGGTCTCTCATTGAACCTGGAGCTTGCCACTTCAGCTTGACTTGCTGGCCATTGAGTCTCCAGGATCCACCTGTCTCTACTCTTCTTCCTTCTTCCTCCTCTCTCCTTCCCTCCTGTCCTCCTCTGAACTTTTCCTCTTTAACTCTCGCAGACTGGGTATGACTTTCTTGCCCAGGCTGGACTCCCAACCTCTGTGCTCAAGTGATACTCTTGCCTCAACTTACTGAGTAGCTGGGACTGCAGGCACATGCCACTGTGTCTGGCTTATGTTCTTTTTTCTGGCAGCATTTCGTAGGTCTCCGTTCAGATCTTTTTCTGACCTGTGGGGAAGTGTTTATGTCTGTGGAGGCATGCTGCTATGGCAATAGCTGGCAAGTAGAAAAGGAGGCAGTTAGAAATAAGCATTAAAGAAGCATATAGGAAACTAACCAACTCAGTAATAATCTTGGTTATGTTTTTTTTTTAATATAGAATTTTTAGAAATTCCTCCTTTCAACAAGCATTATACAGAATGCCAGCTTCGAGCAGGAGCTGGCTATATCCTTGAAGACTTCAATGAAGCCCAGGTGAGGAGTTTGTATAGCCACCCTGAGTGGGAGGTTGGATGAAGCCAGAGATGTTCTATCACTGTGCCATATTGCCAGCCTAGATTTTTTTATTGTTCACAAGGAAGACAAGTTAGAACCTAGGGTTGATTGGTGGCTGCTCTGTTACTGGGACAGAAGGCTGAAATTCTATTTAGAAGAAATCCTATCAGTGTTGCTGATTCCTAGTCTAAAAGGCTGAGTGCCTGGTTTGGTTGTATATTGAAGATTCAGGCCCTCAGAAAGCTGCAGGTGAGACAGGGAGAACATCTCAGGAAGCAATTTGGCTTCTCACTGAGGAATGCAGCCTTAAGTACAAAAGGAGATTAAACTGTAATTCTGATAGAAATTGGAAGTTTTCACATATGCCCTCCAAGGCTCATTAGGGATGACTAGTCAGGCGCTTTCCATAGACATCACCAGACTCATTAGCTCTGTTCTTTTTCCTCTAGTGTAACACAGCCTACCAGTGTCTCCTAATTGCTGATCAGCACTGTCGAACCCGGAAGTACTTCCTGTGCCTTGCCAGTGGGATTCCATGTGTGTCTCATGTCTGGGTCCATGACAGTTGCCATGCCAACCAGCTCCAAAATTACCGTAATTATCTGTTGCCAGCTGGGTACAGCCTTGAGGAACAAAGAATTCTGGATTGGTGAGTATTTGGGAGCCTGCCTAGAGTTGAATAGGCAGGAAAACAATCTTTTGGAAGGAGAGTCTGAGAAAATAAAATGTTTCTGGGAAACTGGAATGTCTGTAGAATAAATCACAGAACTTGAGTTTCAAATTTCAGCAGTTCATCTAATTTAGTGCTAAAACTTAGTTCTATATTGGCTGGGAACCTTTTGAAAACATAGGAGGATTACTACCTAGGCTCAATATTCCCTATTAGGAGATAAGATAGAACCACTTAAGTTAGAGCTTAGTTTCAAGTATCAAACTCAAGGAGGTGGGGGGCGCCCAGGAGCATAATTTAATGGCTTATTCCCAATGTGTGGGCAGATATAGCAATGAAGACTAGGTAGGATCTCAGAGTATATACATTATTCACAAAATATGTATAGGAGTCCCTTTTCGGGAATGGGGTAGGGGAGAGGTATTTGTTAGCTGTGACCTATCATACTAAGGTCCCTTCCAGTTTCAAAAATCTGTGTCTGTGACTCCTTCCTAGGCAACCCCGTGAAAACCCTTTCCAGAATCTGAAGGTACTCTTGGTATCAGATCAACAACAGAACTTCCTGGAGCTGTGGTCTGAGATCCTCATGACTGGGGGGGCGGCCTCTGTGAAGCAGCACCATTCAAGTGCCCATAATAAAGGTAACTGCAAAGCATGAGCTTTATTATTGTTCCAGGGATGCCCACAGATTCAGTTCTTAGATTGACTTTATCCATATGTTTTTTAAAGATTTATTATTTTTATGTGTATGAGTGTTTTGCCTACATGTGCTATATGTGCACCACATGCATGCAGTGCCCCTGGACAATAGAAAAGGGCATCAGATCTGGAACTGGAGTTACAGACAATTGTGAGCTGCCATATGGATACTGGGAATTGAACCCAGGTCCTCTGCAAGAGCAGCAAGTGCTCTTAACTACTAAGCCATCTTTCTAGCTCCCCTCCATATTTAAAAGAAGAAAAAGTTATCTACATCTTCAAAAAAGGTGGGTCGCTGGGCGTGGTGGTGCATGCCTTTAATCCCAGCACTCGGGAGGCAGAGGCAGGCGGATCTCTGTGAGTTCAAGGCCAGCCTGGTCTACATATTGAGTTCCAGGACATCTGGGGCTACAGGGAGACCCTGTCTCAAAAA